AACCGTCGCCAATTCTATGCCGGTGAGAGAAGTGAGCTCTTTGGGCCAGCAACAACAACAGACAACACATGAGACCTTACAACAGCAAACAAATACAACATTTACCGCCGAACGTGAGATCGCCGATAAATATAAAAATATTTGGAAAGATAAAACACCGGCCATAAAGAATTGTGTCAGCATTACACCCATAGGAACGCAACATGATCCAATTCAAGATGTGAAACGAACAGGTAGCATCGAAATTATACCTTTAACTGGCCAACAACATAACAGCATAGCAGGAACAGTTAACAACGGCAATTCAACAACAGTGAGTAATTCATCCACCGGCATAACCATAACACCTATTAATACTGGCAGCTCTTCTATAAACATTAGTGGCGTTAGTAGCAAAGACAAAAAGTCATCAACGACCTCCAGTACTTGCATTTCCAATCTTCCCTCATCCACAACTTCTGCTAAGCGTGCCTTGGATGTCCAAGGAGAATTGCCAAAAGAAAAAAAGCGCAAAAAGAAACGTGATGATTCGCCAATGGGTCCTCCTGAAAAAATATATTCCCGGCAGAATTCGCCGGCTGGATCAAGCGAAGCAGCTGCCGGTGCAGTTGCACGTAAATTCTCTTCTCCTTCTTCGTCGCCAAAGGGTTCTAGTGGTGGTTTATTAGCTTCTTGTGTTACTGGCTCCTCTCTAACAACGCGTCCCAGTCCTAAGCACTCACCGGTCTACAGTAGTCCTAAACATAACACCGCCTCGAATAGTCCGAAATCACCATTTGGGACACATTCACCTAAGCACAGCTCTTCAGGCAAACCCAGTATGTCAACTTTGAAAAATGCCACTGTGGCCAGTCCTAAGGGTGACAAATGTTCCACGGCAGCCGCCATGGGAAGTTCGTCTTCATCGGGATTAAATCCTGGCGCTTTGGTCCGATCCAGCACCTCAAGTACGGTTGTCGCAGCGGCAGCAGCAGCCGCTGCTGCTATGGCTGCTTTAAAAAATAAAGATAAATCAACGGTTTCCCCATCTGCAGTAAGTTCAGCTGCGGCC